TCTAACTGCTGCCCGTTTGCTGATAGCTCAAAACTGGAAGAGTAAAGCTTTACCTACAATAGAGGACTGGAGAGTGAAGGTTTCGCATCTTGCTGAAATGGCAAAGATTTCGGCTTATTTGAAGGATCACTCAAATCAACAATTTTTATCAATATGGAGAAGATGGATTGTTTATATTCAAAATAAGCATAGAATGGTGGAATATAAATTAGGCTTTTAGATAAAAAATTCTTTTTTTATATATATATATATATTTCACCTACTTATGTAGAATAACACTTTGTGGAGTTAGGGATATTAATATAAGGTTACTTTTAGTTGAATAGTATCCTGGGATTAGGTTTGGGAAGTCCGGGTGGGGGGTGGGGGGGTGGGTTTTTTCAATTGTGATGTACTTGTGATGTGTTTTTTTCTCTATGTTGAAAACAATAAACAATTTTTGAAGAAAAAAAAGAAGCTGATATAATTCTAGATTTTCTAGGAGGCCGATATGAACATACTGTTTTTAGCAGAATGAATCTACATATGAGAGATGCACGTTTGATAAATTCTCTGCAGGGTGGCAGGTTCATGAAATATTACTGGCTTATCAAGGAGCACTTGGTAATAAAGTCATTTCCCATTTTGTCCAGCCAAAGATTATCTGCAAGAAGATTCTGGGCCCCTTCAGGGATCTTGCAAATGCAGGAAGCTGCATGTTGAAAAGACACACAATGGCCTCCACATTCAATATATTATGAAATATAAGTTAATTTCTGAGGAACTCTAAATAATCTAAAATCATTAGAAATGGAGAAGTGGCTGAAAAATCCAAATATAAATTATTTGGGTCAATGTGCAGTCAATGCTAAAAAATATCAGAAACTTGAGTCCTATTGTGGTATTTTGATATTCCATTCTTAAAATTTTGGACTGCTCTTTCAATGGTTGCTGTGCTCTTTTCCCTGGTGTTTGGACTACAATAAATTTATCCTCAATTTGTTTCTTTAAGTTTCCAAATTTTGATTTTACCATCTTCTTTTGCTAGAATTTCTAGCGTTGAGTCTAAACTGATTGTATATAGCCAGTTATTAATCCTAATTCCTGATACATAACTTTCAGTCTCAAGCACAATGTAAGCAGACTCACTGCTAATTTATACCAGAGGGAAATTGTAGAGACACCCTACTTATATCAACAGCTTTTCTGTATTCTTCCAATTAAGGAGATAGGTAAGCAAAAGCTTTCCAAGGGCCAAAGAAAGTAACAGGACCCAAAGAAAGTAACAGATACAGATATTGTTTCTTGGCAGATTAGGCATAGGTATCAAAATTTCCAGAATGGGGAAATTTGAAAAGAGATGTTATATGTTATGTATATCCTCCCAGTTCAGTAATTAAGTACATGACCGGTACACAGGGCTTTTTTTCTCGGAGAAAAGGTGGCGGAACTCAAACCTGGCCACGCCCTCATCAAACCCTAGGACCGCCCCTTTAGAGAACAGGAATGCAAGTAAAATTTGGGAGGGGCTATTTCTGGTGTGGGAGGGGCTATTTCCGGTGCGGCCGGCCCGGAAAAAGGTGCCGGAACGCGGTTCCGCCGCGTTCCGGCTGAAAAAAAGCCCTGCCGGTACAAATGAAAATGAGCTCTGATACAGAAATTACCCTGCCATGCATTAAGAGGTTTCCTTTGCTTACCTTTACTGAGGGTCAGTCAGGATAGCAACTGATACAAACACACAGCCAGTACTTAAACAAATGAGGAATTTTATTCCAGACATTAAGATGCTAATGAAGTAGTATGATCTAATATTACAGTTCATACAAGTATTATTTACAAAACCAGTATGTACAGAATAGTATAAGAAATAAACTCTTGGCCTGTTTAATTCCCATCCCCAAACTCTCTTTCCTTACTTTCCACTTATGCTTTATTTTGGCTTATTCTTCCCCTCATCTCAGTTATGGATACTGGAACATCTGTGAGTTTTTCTCTGGCTGTCTTGCTGTCTAAGAAAGCCTTTAACTCACAAAGTACAATTGTCCAGCATCTGACTCCCCATGGTCAGAATAAAATCAGTCCTCTATGTCTTTCCACATTTTCACAAACCATTCCAGGATTTTCCTCCTGATTTTCTTCCCATCTGAGGACCAGAATCTCTGGATTCGGCATGCTCCTCTCCATATTAACCAAGTGACATCCTCTTCAGCAGCATGAGCTGCAGCATTTGAAATACCATCCCTTATTTCTCTGCTCTTTTGTTAACTATCCCCAGACATACATATGGCATTATAGATATCTTCTAGCATTTTCTCTTTTCTGCCTACATACTCTTGGTTGTGTGCTGAGTCACCTGCTTTTCTAAAAAAAATAAAATCATGACCTTGGCATACATCCAACAACTTTCTTCTAGGCAGGCACTTCAATCTGTCAACAAGTATGCTGTAACACTCAGGACTCTAGCCACAGAAACTCACTTGGGACTTTGGACCACTGTTTAGGTCGTTTAGGGAAAAATAAGAGGAGGGAGTGATAAGTATGCTGCTTTGTACTCCAGAATAAAAGGCAGAATTTAAATCTGACAAATGAACACATGTACTTACACATACATATATGTATACAGTATATACAGTACCAAAATGATTGCTATATATAAGTGCGAAACATTCAAAGATACTTAACCTAGATTGATTTCTTGGGCTTACCTTGAAGGAGCTGGCGAAGGGCTAGTAACAATTATGGGTACAAATGCACTGTCATTGGATTTTTGACAGCCTGCAATTGAAAGAGATAATGGTACTGTCCGGTGAGGTGCAGGTGGGTATTTCTGAGCACCAATTCCAATCCACATTATTACACAAAATCCACAAATAAAACCTGAGAATGCACCCTGAGAAGCAGAAAATTATATACAACTCAAGTGTATGTAATATTAAGAAAAGAGATACCTCTAATTTTAAAAATGGAAGCTAATATTACCTATTCAGGCATGGCTTTAGCTCTCAGTCCACTTATTTTCTACAATTACAGGGTTCCCTTTTGTTACAATGGAGGAAGTAGACTCTCATGTCTATTGACATTCAAGAAAGAAACCTGTAAAGGCACAAAATCTATGTACACACCTAGGAATACATGGACCTTTGTACTAGAAACATGCTTTCCACTGCAGAATGAGTAGGCTTGATCTAATAAATAAATATGTTTATTTAACCAGTATTGCTATTATATTGGCCTTTATCCAATCTATTTCTGGAGAATTCTTCACCAGAATGTGGGACTTCCTTTTGCTGTATTCAAGTATCCTTATGGTAAAGGTGATGTGATATTAATATTGAATAAAACATTTTAGTTTAAAAAAATAGTATGTTTAAACTTGTCACTCTACAAGTAAAATTGATTTTTTCCCAGGAAGCTTTATTACAAGATCTCTAAGCCATGGAAATATGAAATAAGTAATATACATTGTTTGAAATGTTATATATAAGTATCCCATATTTGGATTGGTCTACTACTTCAAAAAATTGTGCCATGAGGCTTCTAATTATTCACTCTTGGCAATCTAGACTCTGGTCCAGCAAAAAGGAGGAAAATCTTCAACCTGATTTTCACTAACTGTGCCTTGCTTATAGAAATTTTTACATCTAGCAAAAAAAAGTATTTTAAATTAAGCAGAATATTCTTTTAAATGCTTGGGTTGTTTGGACATACACCAATGTTCTGTAATCTGTACATTTTAAGTATTTGATCCTATACTCTGGTTTTTTGCCTCTCTTATACACAATGGGCTTCTATAATGGTTTAAGGTAAAAATATTTTGATGGTTCTGATCTGCTTCAAAAAAGAGTAAGAAGCAAAAAAAAATTGTTGCATGCAGGAAGAAGAGGGTAGTGGGAGTAGATTATCCTGATTTTTTCATTCCTGGCTTCATTTTTTTTTTTAAATGTACATACAGGTACTCTTTGATTTATAACCAGTTGCTTAAATTTGAGGTACAATGAGATCATAAAAAGTTACTTACAACCTGTTCTCAAAGTTACAACTGTTGTACCATCCCCATGGTCATGTGTTGCATTTTGGGGATTTGGCAACTTATGACCAATTGAAACATCCCATAATCATGTTTTGAAACTTTTGTTGTTGTTTTCCAGCAAAAACGCCAATTGGATAAGTTGAATTCAGACTTATGACCATGTAATTTGCTTAACAGCCACATGATTCAGTTAACAACTGCAATTTCATTTAATGACCATAGTCCAGGTCCATGGTGACTTATGAATGCAATGATTTATAACTCAATTGTAGTCATAAGTCGAGAACTACTCTGTACCCCCATGAAGCTATTAGAAGTAAAGACATAATAGACACATTCAAATACAAAACTTTTAGAAAATAATTTGACATACTCTTTTATTTAATGACAATAGGACATGTTATTAACACTTACTTTAGAATTTGCAAAAGGAAATAGGATGCCCAAAGAATATATTCCTAACAAAGGTCCTCCAATTAATTCAAAAACACTGAATGCAGCCTGAAAGAAGCAAAAGAAAATTACAAACTTTTTGTAAACTAAGCATTGATTTCTTCAGCTTACAATGGGAATCCTGAAGGAAGCTATACCCAATAAAGTGAAGCCATTGGGATGGATCCAGACTAAAATGGCTAAGACAGAACTACTGAAATCAGGAGAACAAATCATGGGGGAACTTTTCAGAATTTTACGGGAGTATCAAAAAGCATGTTGATAAGAGAGACAGGCTTTTAATTTTTTTTGATGAATATCTTCATCAAAGGCTCTCCATTAATACAGGTAGTCCTTGACATGCAACAGTTAATTTAGTGACCATACGAAGTTGCAACAGCACTGAAAAAAAGTGACTTACAACTATTTTTCACACTTACAACTATTGCAGCATCCCCATCGTCACGTGATTTAGAATTTGAATGCTTGGAAATGGACTCACATTTATGCAATGCCCTGCGGTCACATGATCCCCTTTTGTGACCTTCTGACAAGCAAAGTCAATCCGGAAACCAGATTCATTTAACAGCTGTGTTACTAATTTAACAACTGCAGTGATTCACTTAACAAATGTGGCAAGAAAAGCTGTAAAATGGGGCAAAATTCACTTAACAATTTTTTCACTTAGCAACATAAGTTTTGGGCTCAATTGCAGTCTTAAATTGAGGACTAGCTCTATATCATTCATTGGTAGAAATCATGAAACATTAGTAATTCATGGAAGAACCTAAGAAATAAAATCACACAAAGATCTGCATTGGGCAAATGGAGCCTCTGGCTAACGCCTGCACTATAAACTATTATTAACATTATTTTTTTGGAAATATATATTAAACTTATTTTAGATTAATATAAGAAACCATTAAGGTCTTACCTGTAATAAAGCACCCATAACAGATACTAGTGCAGCCATGGATAAACATGCTATACCAAATAATAGACCTATGTGGATAAAGTTATATGAAGTTTATATGATTTATAAAAGTGATTTTACACTATTAGGCAGAGGATTCACTATTAGGAGATGTTTCCAAGATAATCAATAAAAATGCATGTTCCCTTGGCAAAATGAAAAAAATCAAACTACTAATTGTTAGACATTGATTTAGTCATATAAAGATCTGTCCAGTAGTCCATATGAAACATGTGTTTATTTTTTAAAATTCTTACAGTTAAAGGTTAACTATGAATGGATGAACAAACCTGGTCCCTGGCATTATATTAAAGAAGTCTTTGCTCATCATTGTCCCCATACTTATTTGTGTCTACAACTATTTTAAAATAAAGCCTTAATAATCAACCTCATGCTGATAACTTCTGGAATCAGAAAGGCTGCCTATCATAATAAGAAAAAAAAATCTCCCTGGTCTCAATTCTATAAGGGATCCACAAACTTTAGTTCCAAAAGACAATCTGCTAATTGAAACTTCTTTTAGTCCTTGCGTTGTCATAAACAAGGCACCAAAAAGACACCAATATTATTATATATTGTATTGTATTATTATATATTACTTTACATTACATTATAATAATATTATAAAAAAGGAATTAGTATTATCAAGCACACAGTATTATGCCTCTAAAATTTTGCAATAACTGCTGCCGTACAATTAAAAAAAATGAATAAAAGAGTAGTCTGGCAGGAGACACCAGTTTCCATTCCTTGAAATTGTTATTTAGAGACAAATACATGACTGCTTGAGTATATTTAGGATTTCTAGGTCTGAGGGGGGAACAATATGTGAACAACCAGTTCTCTGTGTGGATGCTGCTTCCGGAAGTCCATTCTGGGCCTTGGCAACAAAAAATTAGCTTCCGGTTCTGCCGAACTAGTGCGAACTGGCTGAATCCCATCACTGGGGGGGAACAATATGACTCCCAGAGGCCTTCCACTTTATACAGGTAGTCCTCAACTTACAGCCACAATTCAGCCTGAACTCTTGGTTTTTGAGCGAAGTGGTCATTGAGTGAGACGCCCACGTGACTGCTTTGCTCAACAATTGCAATTCCAGCTCTCCCGGTTGTGATCATTAAGCAATCATGCAGGGTGCCTCCCCAACTCTGGAAGGCCTGGTGCCTACTGGAGTGTGGAAACCTGACACAGGCCAGGAGGCTTCAGCTAGGTACAGGGCCCACAAGCAAGTGGAAACCTGCCATAGGCCAGGAGGCCCAGGCCACAACCCACCATGCTTGGGGAGCCATTCCCCGCTCCACTACAGCTGGGTCTACTTACCTTTGCCTTTTTCTGCAGCTGCTGACGGGCACACCCAGCAATGCAAAACACAGTTAGAAAGCCAGCGAATGCAATCTTTGCAAGCTGGAAAGAGCTTTTCAAGTTGCGCCTTGCCTTGACTCAGCAATGTAGACTGTGTTTTGGTATGGTAATTTAGCGTAATAACATACTTAAAAATAAATAAATCAGTGGTGCACTATTTGGAAACTCAGGGCCATCTGTAGCCTTCAAAGGCTTTGCATACGGTCTTCAGAGCTACCTATACTTTTTTAACATGACAAATCATTAAGATATTAAAAAGGAAAGAAATCATCATAGCAGCTATTCTTAATAAGATTCTATAGCATTTATATATAAATTTTCAAAGCAGAATACAAAGATAAACTTACTTATTCCAATGGCAATATATGATAACTTTTCTTCAGACACTGTGAAATAAGGCTTAATAAAATCTTCTAAAGTTACAGTAGCTAATGCATTGATGCTGGTAGACACTGAACTACAAAATATAAAATTAAGCATTGTTAATGTTTAACCTGCACTGAATATTAGTTCACAAATATTAAAAAATGAGATAATGAGAAGAAAAATAAAGTTAATCTGAGAAGCAGCAAAATACAGTTCTATTATTTATTTCATTTATATCCTACTACAATCCAAATCAACTCTCAGTTTTTGTTATGCGCACAGGATTGTTGATCAGTTGATTATGTTAGCAATCTCTGCTAAGTGACATGATCCTGGAAAGTATATGCCTGAACTAAAGTCTCATGATTAGAACTGCCTTTTAAGGAATGCCTTCCTATTATTTCACCATGACTTTCAACTCTTTAAAATAAATTGTTTAAACATTATGGAAAAATAATAGTTGCTATTTTATAATGATTTTGCATTTTGGTTAGCAAAAACTGAACATATACCTGCAAAATTATGTTTCTGTTTCTATGGTATGGTGAGAGAGCTGGTGGGTTGATGGTAATTTTGTTGTTATTGTTATGTTTCCTTGATCTGTTTATGTATACATATAGAGATTTTATTGCTATTTCTATGAATTTTCTTTTGTTATATTCCTTTTGGAGGGCTAATTAATTTCTTCTGAGTGCAGAAAGAGGCTTCTATTTCAAAGGATGTCTCACTTATTTAGAATAAATGTTTTATTTAAAAGTTCTGACTAGTTTAATATCAGACTGTTTGATGGAACATATAGTAATAAAACTTACAGACAGCTTATTTAACAAGTTGGCATTTCATTCAGAACTAGCTAATAAAAAATACATATGGAATGATTGACATAGAACAGTAGCTTACCTTGCCTTTCAGTCTAAGCAATATTTAAGAAATTATTTCCCCAAATTGTATTCCTAATGCAATTCCATGGGATTTGTCCATGAAAAAATGTGCAAAGAAATGGAGCATTATTAAAAGTCAACCAAATATAAATCTCTGTTCTAGGATGTCAATAAGTGTCTTTCATGTTTCAGCAGTTAATGATTGCATGCAACAATGTGCATCTACCAATGCAACAACTTTCATCATGAAAGCAGTATTTTTTCCACAGTATTGCACCTCACGAAAGGCACGGCTCAATGGAAATCTACTCATGTAATATTACAGGTAGCCCAATATTTATTTAAACATTTACACAACAGTTGCACATTATAATATCTGGCCTTTGAATGACAGAAGAGTTACAGAACTTAAAATAAAAACAAAATCTGGTATAACTTTATTTATATTTCTAATAAATCATTATTTTCCACTCATGTATTTTACTAATTTTATTTTCTTGAATCATACCAAAATGTATAAATTGGTACACCTTGGAGGTCAATGATTTGGGACCCAAATGTGACTCTTGGGCCTCAGATGATACATTTCTATGTAATAATATAGAGATAATTATAGTGCATATTTTAAGAGAAATTCTAGCATTAAAAGTCAAAGAACAGAGTGAAAAATGGGATTAAATTAAATATAAAGAAATCCAAATTAATGAGAATAGGTACAACAACTAGCCTTAAAATTGACAATGAAAGTACTGAAGTGGTAGATAGCTTCTGTCTTTTAGGATCAATCATCAACAGTAAGGAAATAAGCAGTCAAGAAATACGCTGCAGAGTAGTACTTAATAGATCAGCCATGAAGGCCTTGGAAAAATATATTCAAATGCTTTGTCTGTGCATATAAAGATCAGATTTCCTGTGACACAAAGTCAAGGATTTTGGACTTTGAAGAAACAAGATAGGAAGAGTATTGATGCTTTTGAACTTTAGTGTTGGAGAAGGTTCCTGAGAATACTGGGTATAGTCTGGCCAGCACAAAGCCCAGTCACCAAAGCTGCTTTAGTACAAACTAAAATTAATTTATTGGCACCTGTTAAGACTTTATACACAGCTAAACCAGATTGGTTTAAAATCTTTGCATACGTCTAAATATTGGACAAGCGCCCAGGAGATTAATATGAGAGTCTCATTCAAACTTTTACCAAATACTCAGTCCAAATAGTCCAGAAATTAGTAGCACATGTTTTAGAAAATACTTTTGTGGGTGGATTTTTGCCATAAGTAAGAATCAGAAACTATAGAGCGCTGGCAATAGGGGAAAAAATGAACGAGTTGTCAGCTGAACCCACTGTTTTATGCAATTGTATCAAACTGAGCATACAAAGGAGGGAAAGAAGGATCCCAGAATGTTGGTAGCCAGGAGAGATCAAACTAAGCAATGCTCAAAGTAATGCAATAAAAATCAAGGCAGGAGATGTTGGCCCAAGAATTCTGGAGTTTATTTTTACTGAGGGTGAAATCAGAAGTTGAAATTGAAATTGGAAATTGGAAGTGGGTGAGATTGGAAGTCCCAATGCCAGGATAACCTAGATGCAGGTACACCCCCCCGTTGGCTTCTATCCTTCTCTGCCTCAGCAGATTGTTATTCCTGTCTCTTATCCCTCTTCCTACACTGGCACAGTTGCAAGCATAGGGCTATCCCAGCAAAAGGTCCTACAGGTACCCAATCACATTGCTTTAGAGATAAATGAAAATGTTTTTAATTGATACTGTAGCTGATACATCATGTCAAGTGGCAAAGGAATTTCAAAGCAGTCCTCTCACTACTGCTATTCATTTTGCTTCTGGAATTTTTGACACTCCAATTTCCCACAGAGAAAATGATCATATGCCAGTAACTTGAGGCCTTTACCTAATACCCATTTTTTCTTGATAGGAACTGATTTAGATGTTAGTCTTTTAGTTGGAGACCTCCCATGTAAATTATAAAACGGCATTTTATAAATAAATACCTAAAACTATTACCATGATATCTAAAACATTAACACCATAGAAAGACTGTAAAAAACCCCAGCAAGAACAAAGAAATAGAAGAGGGAATTTTAATAATAACCAAGCTATCTCACTTTGCATTGCACTCCTGAAAGTGCCTTCATGGACATTCCAAACATTGAGGATCATAATTGGGTGACAGCAATATCAGAAGTGGCAGCTGATAAAATGGACTCTATTAAAGTTTACTATTCTACAGACAATATTTTGCCAGATCTGCTTTTACATTGTATTCCTAAAGAAATATGGATCACATAAAGTCAGACTTTGGTTGATTAAATCAGCTGATACAGTCTAGATTCATTTAAAGTCTCATATTTCATTAGTGAGGATGCCTCAGTAGGCCCGGAACAGAACTGCAGTAAAACGCATTTGTCCTGTTACTCTATCATTATTAGAACAAGAGATATGAATCAGACCTGGTTCTGATCCCCCTTCCTAGAGATTAATTCAACACCTTAGAGCTGTAAATAAGGTTGCTCATCCCTGGTTCCTCAGTAAATAGAATGTACAGGTAATCCCCAAGTTACAAGCGTTCACTTAATGCTCATTCGAAGTTACATGATAAGCGCCCCCTTATGAGCAAGTCCTGAAATTACGAATACTGCAGCACCATGGCAGTCGTTCGCCTTACGGGCGATCGCATAGGCTCTGCAACATTCACCCTCATTATTCCCTCCCACCCCACCCGGGTCTCCCTAGGCACCAGCCTTTCAATACTTACCCTGCGAAGATCGAAATCCTTCACTTTCTTGGCTGCTCCAAGCCTTTGGTGCGTTCGCAGAGAATGGAGGGCTAAAGTAATGCAAGGTCACACAAGATCAGTGGGGTGAGATCTCCTCCTACTGATCTCGCGTGATCTTATGCTACTTTAGGCCTCTGTTCTCTGCAACAGAGAACAAAACCGAAGCCAGAGGCTGGATCGGGACGTCCCCCGGCCTCAGATCCGGGTGGCAGTAGCATGGAGAAGGCCTCCGGCGCCTGGATTGGGACGCCGGAGAGCTGTGGAAGCATCCCCTGGCCTCAGATCCAGGCAGCAGTGGCATGGAGGCCTCTGGCGCCTGTATCAGGCCACTGGAGGGCCACAGAAGTGTCCCCCAGCCTCAGATCCGGGTGGCAGTGGCCTGGAAAAGGCCTCCAATGCCCCCATCCAGCCTCCAGAGGCATTGGAAACGTCCCCCGGCCTCAGATCCGGACAGTAGCAGGAACCGCGGCAGAGAGAAGACAGATCTTTTCAAGGTGAGTCCAGCGTGGCAGGAAGGGGGAAGCACTAGGCCCTCCATGGCCTTCCCCACCCTGAGATACCTCATGTTCACTTAACGAGTCATATGTGTCATAACAAGCAAGGGAATGACTTCGTTTGAGGTACGAGATTCACTTCCACGAGTTTTTGAGTTACAAGTGGAATGGGCAGACTCCATTACACTCATAACTCGAGGACTACCTTTACTTTCTTTGTTATAACATTTTTCGCATTTGATGGTAATCTCACTGATGGTACTGCTAATAGTGAGATTGCCGGATTTATCCTTACTTTTAAAAGATACCATATTTTTAATAAATTTTGTGTTATAGTACAGATTGTACTTGACTTAAAACCATTCATTTAACAACCAAAGTTACAACACTAACTTATCACACTAAAAACTAACTTATCAGTGTGAGGATTTATAATGTCACATTTAAAGCTTACCTTAATGAAGCACCGAAGGTTCCAGCCACAAAAAGTCCTGGTACGCCTGGATAATCTTCCAGAATATCCAGGACAAAATATGGCATGAGCTAAAAAAAATACAATTAACAAAAATTAAATATCTATTTTTATTTTGCTCTTTACAATCTATAATTGAAAATCAATTTTGAAATATTTTTAACTTTAGTCATGTAATCTGAGCACTCTACAGTTATGACTTACACAAACATATATTATTCTCTAGCTGTTAATCTACATAATCTATGATCCTTTTTATACGGGTTGACATCACGACACCTCAGTGCATATTACATCATTCTGATGAAATCTTGCTGAGGATGTTGTAAATAGAATTATCTAACAGAACATAATTATCTGAGAGTGAGATGGGCAATATCTACATTTGATAAATAAATAAACTAACTTCTTCTGCATTGGGTCTCAACTACATTGTTTCTTCAAATACAAACTGAAATTTAGGTGAATTTCATATTTCGCCTATATAATTCCCTTTCTCAGGAATTATGGGATTCTCTAATCGTACATCTGGCTGGGATAAAGTTATCTATCTTTACTCCATTTAATCAATTTTATTTGACTTTAGATATGTTTATATAAAAACACATTAGCATGTATTTTAATTTAGTAAATATTAAAATTATGAAAAAAATAATTTGAAAATTTATATTAGTTTATTAGTTAAACAACTAATAGTACCAATCTGGAAGTGCCATTCTTTCTGACACATTACTATTTCAAAGATTATCAACATTATTAAGAACAAAGTAGTTGAACTTCCAGAAAGTTTCAGAATATATTTGACTGTAACATTTGTGATACAGCTGTTGCAATCCTGTAGAATTTATACTTCAATAATATGCAAAAAACCCTAACAAAATGAAATGCTATCTTCTTCTTCTAAGTGCATACTGTATGCTCCATACAAAGCCTTAAGCAGGTTCCAGTGGCTGCAATTTTATATGAATTCAGCGGTTATTAAATTGCTATGTAAATCAGTCTTGTTATGGCACAGATTAATTTTCTTATGAAATGTGATTAAACATGGGTTCACATTTTGTTCATAAAATGGATAGAAATTTATCGTCACCAATCTTATACAATAGTTACAACAGAGTGATTAATTTCAGATGCATTTTATTGCCCATTTTTTCCTTTGCTTTTCTATTTAATTCTGGAACTCTTCACAATTTTTATTAAGCAATCTAATATACTACTTATTTGGCAATGGCAGATTTTGAATATATTTTTAGCAATTTTATTTAATTATTCTATTTCTTTGCCAAAACAATACATTCAGTATTTTGATAAGAATTTTCAAAAGGCCTGAAGTATCACTAGTAGAATTATTTTGAAAAATTGGGAAAGCAATATTGTTTCTGATATTAAAGAATGGATTCAAGAACAGTTTAATTTATATTTTTAAAGGAAATTTTACCCATCAAAAAAGGAAAAAATTGTCATAGGTTTTATGACGTTTGTGATATTTGTAACATTAGATAATTATCATTTCTATTCATTCATTTAAATCTAGAACTAGATAAGATGGAAATAGAGTTGAACATACATTTGAAAAGGACTGCTTATAAGAATGATCAGGAAAAAATATGAAATAGTGGATACACAAATGATCCAAATGCTCTCTTAATAATTAAAAGGGGCATGCAAATAACAAATCTGGAGAATGACTGGGATAATTTTCTTATATTAGACTTATAAAGGAGACCTGTTAAAGTTCTGAAAAACTTGGTAAGAAGGAACAAGAAAAAAGAAAAGAAATAAAGGTATAGGAAAATATTTGAAAATATTAAAGATTAAAATTGTTTAAAAAATAAAGGGAAGAAATATTAAGTTGATTTATTTGATCAAGGTTAAAAAGGGGGGAAATTACATCTTTATATTTTATTCTCTTTCCTTTGTCATAAAAAAATTCTGGTCTGTTCCTACTAGCATAAGACCAGGAGAATTTGTATTCCTCAGACTAAAACTGAAAATAATTTTAATATACATTAGGCCCATAAACATTTTAAATTGTTTGTCCTTAGAAATTAATAGTCAATGAACTAAACTAGGATACATATTATATATTCCCTTGCACAGCTGTTGATAGAAAATACATCAAGGTATTTTATACAAGCGAAACTCTGAATGGTCTTCCAAAGCAGCCCAGAAAAAAAAGTTTATAAAGTTCTATAAATTCATTGAAGTATGAATGATAGTGAGAAGATCCTTGATATCCAGTACATATATTTGTATTAGTTACATAATCTGAAATATCCTAGCCACCATTATTCCCTGCTATTCAAAAAGCAAAATGCATGCTTAAAAGAGTGAATCAATGTTAAGTCAATGTTAATTTGAAACCCAGTCCCTAGAAGGAAGATGTATAGGTATTCATACAATGTCGAAACAGATTCTTAAACAACTTTGTTTTTGCTACCAAAGAGAAGCCATCATTCATGTTAACAGTAGTTGTTATATTGCATCAGATACATTTGAAAACACTTTACAAATGAAGGCAAATATATGTGTCCCAGGATAATGTTACAAGATCCAATCTGTTTCTCCCCACTCCAAAAATACATCATTCTCTTTCTTTATAGATTTACATCTATTTCTAATAATATAGTACATTTTGGTATAAACATTTTAATTTTTCTGAAATATGACCATAAATTATTTATATGGGAGATGAAAAGAAAAGATACAACAAATCCAAATGACAAATATTTCACTTGTACTGAATACTAAACCTGATCTGGGGCTGATACAATTCCGGATGTCAATGGATCACAATCCTTGTATATTGAATACATTGATAATCCATCCAGTGATGCAAAAATCAGAGCTATCCAGAGGCCCACAAGATTCAGATATAGAGCACTGTAATAAAATTTTATAAATGATTGGAATATTAGAAAATGTTCTTTCTAAAATTATTTTATCATAGAAGCATGCCACATTTATATGCTGTAATATTTTTACACTGAGCAAAATATGAAGTATTAGTGCTTTCCTTTTAAAGTTTTAAAATTTTATACTAATTATAATGCAAGAAAGGATCACCAAAAGTTAAATGAAAAAAATGAATTGAAATGGCAAAGTATAATTACTGGAGGATTGTTTAGTTTTGTACTTTTGTTTGCTTTATGAGATATACTAGATTAGTATACCACCTTTCATTTGGAGTTTGAAGCAGAATATATAATACCATTTCCTCTTATTCCCTCCCATCCCAAGAACACTGTTCTTGCCAGTATTACCAAAAATACTTCCAGACACCTGGGAATTTGAGGGTTCTGTGCAGGATCTTAAATGTCCTGGCACTGCACTCTTTTGGACAGAGAGCTCTAATGTTGTTCCTGGAATCTGTTAAGAGCCACTCTCCTAGCTTAGGAGTCACAGTGCTCTTACCACCACTAGTCCACTTTGATCTTTCCTCTGCAGTTTGTCTTTCAGATCCTGATACTTCTCCAGCAGCTCTATTCCTTCTTCCTGATGTTGCTGCCACTTGTGACTGCTACATCTATCACAACCACTAACATTTGATCCTTGTCTACTACCACAATGTCTGATTTATTGGCTAGTAATTGCCTATCTATCTAGATCTGTACGTCCCCTCAAAGACTGAAAACAATGCAAGTCTCCCACGATTCAAAACTTACGGGACACTTTGAATTTGTAAAAAACCTACACTTATTGAGGTGGCAATTCTGGTGGCTATCGTTAAAAAAGGACATTGAAAGTTATTTGGCCAGCTGCCCCACTTGTGCAGCACCAAAACAAAGACAAGGAAAAACGCCTGGCCTTTTGCAGCCAGTAGCAAACCCTTCAGCACCTTGGAGAAAGATCTCTATGGACTTCACTGTAGAACTGCCAGAAAGCGCAGGAAACACTGTCATTTGGGTAGTGACCGACCTGTTTTCAAAGCAGGTCCACTTTATCCCGTGCCAGAAGATCCCAACTGCCAAGACCCTAGCGAAGCTGTTCCTCCAAACATATTTACTGATTGCATGGGGCCCCTCACCATATAATTTCAGATAGAGGGGTCCAATTCACCTCAAAGTTCTGGAAGGCATTTTTGGACTTCTTGGGCACAGAACAGGACTTGAGTTCTAGTCATCATCCTCAAACAAATGGGGGGACAGAATGAACTTGGTTCTGGAATAGTATTTGAGAAGCTTCATCAACTACCAACAGCATAATTGGAGTGACCTTTTACCATTTGCTGATACACCCCTTTCCAAGTGGCCGCAGGACAGATTTTTAACCCAATGTCTGAACTGCCAGCCAATAAATCCACCATTCCTTCCCTTAAGGAATGGATGAATCAGCTGCAAAACACCTGGCCGGTTGTTAGAAAAGATCTAGATGAGGCCAGAGAAGCCTATCTCAAGCAGATAAAAAGAGAGTGGAACCTAAACCTTTCCACATCGGGGACAGGGTATACCTATCTACTAGGTTCTTACAATCATTGCAGCCCTCCAAAAAGTTAGGACCAAAATATGTAGGTCCCTTCCCCATCAAACGCATCATAAACCCAGTTACAGTAGAACTAGAACTTTCCAAAGCGTTAAGGCAGATCCACCCCGTATTTCATTGCAGTTTATTAAAACCTGAGATAACCTCGCCTTTACGGCCAATGACAGCACCAACACCACAATCCATTATGGTAGAGGGTGAGCAGCATTTTGAAATCAAAGAAATATTAGACTCCCGTAAACACCATGGAGCTATCCAGTATCTTGTGGTTGGAAGGACCGTCCAGCATCCCAAAATGAATGGGTCCATAAAAAACATGTTAGAACCCCAAGATTACTCAAATGCTTTCAGGCACGTTATCCGGACAAACCTGACTAACTTCTCATTTCTTTTCTCCCCATTTTTATTATTTTCTATTTCTCCAGGTGGATTTCCCCTTCTTTTAGGGGAGCAGCATGTCTGATCCTCAAACTATATATTCATTTCATTTTGTTTTCAGGTACTGCCATTCTGTTGGGAGGGGGAGGTTTCACTCTTTGGGGAGGGGGAAGCTCTATGGGCTTTGGGATGCATTTCTTTTACTTTGTTCTTTCACCTTTGATGCATCCCTCAGGGTGAGAAAGGGAGGAGGAATGTACCTGGGGCATTTCTGTCTTATCTCTACTCTGCTGGGGAGAGACCGAGACAAAAACAAAATGCCTGAGAACTGCGGCTTTATCACCTCGATTCCCATAACAACTTCACACCTGTGAATTGGCCAAAATCATACTGAACCATTGGGCACTGGGGAGGGGTTGAAGGGAGAGTTTTAATTTAATGTTTTGCATGGGAATTCTTTAGATCTTGCCTTGCTATTCTGCTATCACTGTCTCTCAATAAAAGTTCCCTTTGAAATGATGTCACTTTCAGGAGTTTTGCTTTCTTGGAAGCACTAGCTGAGGCAGGACCTTACATGTCTTTAGCTTTCTTATTATCCATGATCTTCTCTGGGATCTCCCATCTGGACTTAGGATGGTCTAGCTTACAGTATATTCTGTGCAGATGTTCCTGTACACAATGCCAGCTACTTGGTTGTGCTGTTCAGTGTATGCTGTTCCTGCCGTCTTATACCCTGCCATTATGTGTTGGACTATCTCTGAGGCCCCTCTGCACAGTCTGCAATTAGGTCCTGTCTAGTGTGGTAGGTCCTGCTTCTATGGAGCTGGTGTTTAGTGCCTGTTCTTGTGCTGCTATGATCAGTGCCTCAGCACTATCTTTTATTCCACCTCTTTCCAATCATTGGTAGGACTTCCCAATGTCCGCCACTTCAGTTATCTGTCATTGATAGATCCCATATAGGGTCTTGTCTTGCCATGGCACTTCCTCTGCTTGATCTTCCATATCTGCTGCTGCTTCAGGCATTCTCTCAGCAGTTCATCTATGGGTGCCATCTTACTGATGTATTTCTCGATGCTCTTTCATCCAGGACAGTGTTTTTGACACTCACCAGGCTCCAGCCATTCCCGTTCCAGCTAGTGTACTCTCTGGCTGTTAGATTTGGAGTGGAAACTTCCATACATTTTGAGGAGCTTGCAGATCACATCAGCAGTTTCCATGTAGTTATTTGGCCAGCTCACTATACTGGCAGGGTATCTGATGATTGGGTACATGTTGACAGTATGGATCTTGTTCTTCCCATAGATCTGGCTCTTCAAAACCTGTCTGATCCTTTCGTGATACTTAGATTTTACTGTTTTCCTTGCTTCATCATCATGGTTCCTATGTGACTGTGGAAAACCAAAGTATTTGTAATTGGTCTGTATATCTGCTAAATCAGCGTCCCCCAATCTTTTGGGCTACAGGGATCAGTTCCGTGGAGGGTGATTTTTCTATGGACAGGGGGCGTGGTTTCATGTGCTGCCTGGATCTCATGCATGCACAGATGGGGCTTCACTCATCTATGTAGAGGTGATGACTGATGGTAATTCCACTCTTTTTTTTATAAAACTTTATTGATTTGCTAATTTTTACAAATCATAAGTGTTTAATAAACAACGTGTTGTCCGGGTTAATTTTTTACTTAACAATACATACTAAAATTATTCTGTATCTTCCTTAAGAAAATGCCAGAATGTGTAGAAACTAAGAGCGCTGTTCTTCAATAGCACTCTTAGTTTCTACACATTCTGGCATTTTCTTAATCCTCTCTTCTTCAACTGATGTTTCTTCACTTTTCAAACACTAAACAAATGCAATTCTTTCTACTATTAATACATATAACATACATACAACATTCCTTATGTTTCTTCTTTGTCATATTTTTCTAATATTGTATCTACTAACATTACTTCTAAATTATAGCATCTTTTCTATCCAATTCATAACTCAATTTTATTTGCAGTTATGGTCACCTTATTAAATCAATACCCTGTTTTCCCAGCTCTTGTTTCCATTTTGTTTTCCCTTCAGTGTTCAAAATATCTTTATACATTACGATTTTCTCAACAGTAGTTACACTGAGGTGAGCAAAAGCTTCCCTTATTAAAGACCATCCTGTTATTTTCATGTTTCCCAACTCATAGAAAAATACATCATTCTAAGTATAAATCATATCTTTCTAAATATAGTCTTTTAATATCTAAAAGTTATCTGTTTCTAGCTATATTCAAACACCTGTTTGGTAACATAAGGCTCCAACTACTCAATCAAGTCCTCTATTTTCTTTAGTCTAACAATAATAATAATGATGATGATGATGATGATGATGATGATGATGATGATGATGATGATGGAAGGGACCTTGGAGGTCATCTAGTCCAACCCCCTGCTCAGGCAGGAAACCCTATACCAGTGATGGCGAACCTTTTAGAGACTGAGTGCCCAAACTGCAACCCAAAACCCACTTATTTATCGCTGGGTACCAGGTGGGTGTGGCCACTGGATGGGCGTGGCTGTGGTCAAGGCAGATTGGGTGGGTATGGCCAAGGTGAGTGTGGTCACCTCGATATTGCTCGTGGGGAGGGATGCCTGTGGGGGCCGGGCAGGCTTGGGGGAGATCTAGGGGGTCTGTGGCAGGTGGGCGGTGGGCAGGAGGCTCATCCTGAGGGGTGAGGTGAGGCAAGGCGAGGCAGGGCGGGGGTGCCATTGTTGCAGGGCAAGGCAAGGCAGGGGCCAGGGCGGCTGCTGCCTCACACCATCGGCCCCCATACACAGAGGCCAACAAGCACATGGGGGCCGACAGTGTCCATCAACAGCCACAGCCTGCCGGCCCATCAACCAGTACACTCTGGGGCTCCGCAGCCCGCCACCAGAAGTTCAGAGAAGCCGCCTCTGAGCTGGACAGCTGGCCAACAGCTGAGGAGGCGATGCAGTGGGTCATGCCCAGGAAAAGGAGAGCATGTGAGGCCAGGACGGATGGGAGG